TCGTCGTAGTCGACGTCGTAGTCTCGTCGTCGTCGTCGTCGTCGTCGTCGTCGTAGTCGTCATCGTCGTCACCGTCGTCGTCGTCTTCGTCGCCGCCGCAGTCGTCGTAGTCGTCGTCGTCGGCGGCGGCGGCGTCGTCGTCATCGTCGTCGTCGTCGTCTTCGTCACCGTCGTCGTCGTCGTCGTCGTCGTGGTAGTCGTCGTCGTAGTCGTCGTAGTCGTCGTCGTCGTCACCGTCGTCGTCGTCGTCGTCGTAGTCGTCGCCGTCGTCTCGTCGTCGTCGTAGTAGTCGTCGTCGTTGTAGCCGTCGTCGTCGTCGTCGTCATCGTCGTCGTCGTCGTCGCCGCCGTACTCATCGTCGTCGTAGTCGTCGACGTCGTCGTCGTCGTCATCGTCGCCGCCACCGCCGTCGTCGTCACCGTTGTCGTCGTCGTCGTAGTCGTCGTCGTCGTAGTCGTCGTCGTCGTCGTCGTAGTCGTCGTCGTAGTCGTCGTAGTCGTAGTCGTCGTAGTCGTCGTCGTCGTCATCGTCGTCGTCGTCGTCGTAGTCGTCGTCGTCGTCGTCGTCGTCGTCGTCGTCGTCGTCGTCGTCGTCGTCGTCTCGTCGTCGTCGTAGTCGTCGCCGCCGCGTCGTCGTCCGTCGTCGTCGTCGTCGGCGGCGGCGTCGTCGTCGTCATCGTCGTCGTCACCGTCGTCGTCGTCGCCGCCGTCGTCGTCGTCGTCGTCGTCGTCGTCGTCGTCGTCGTCCGTCGTCGTCACCGTCGTCGTCGTCGTCGTAGTCGTCGTCGTCGTCGTCGTGGCGGTCGTCGTCGTAGTCGTCGTCGTCGTCGTCGTCGAGGTCGTCCTAGTCGGCGTCGTCGTCTTCGTCGCCGCTCGTCGTCGTCGTCGTCGTCGTCGTCGGCGGCGGCGTCGTCGTCATCGTCGTCGTCACCGTCGTCATCGTCGTCGTCGTCGTAGTCGTCGTCGTCGTCGTGGTAGTCGTCATCGTCGTCTCGTCGTCGTCGTCGTCATCGTCGCGTCGTCGTAGTCGTCGCCGCCGCCGCCGTCGTCGTCGCCACCGCCGCCGTCGTCGTCGTCGCCACGGCCGCCGTCGTCGTCAACGCCGTGGTCCTCGTCGTCGTAGTCGTCGTCGTAGTCGTCGTCGTCGTCGTAGTCGTCGTCGTCGTCGTAGTCGCCGTAGTCGTCGTCGTCGTCGTCGTCGTCGTAGTCGTCGTCGTTGTCGTCGTCGTCGTAGTCGGCGTCGTCGTCGTCGTCGTCGTCGTCGCCGCCGTCGCCGCCGTCGTCGTCATCGTCATCGTCGTCGTCGTCGTCGGCGGCGGCGGCGACGTCGTCACCGTCGTCGTCGTCGCCGCCGACGTCGTCGTCGTTGTCGTCGTAGTCGTCGTCGTCGTCGTCGTCATCGTCGTCGTAGTCGTCGTCGTCGTCGTAGTCGTCGTCGTAGTCGTCGTCGTAGTCGTCGTCGTCGTAGTCGTCGTCGTCGTCGTGGTCGTCGTCGTCGTCGCCGTCGTCATCGTCGCCGTCGTCGTCGTCGTCGCCGACGTCGTCGCCGCCGTCGCATCCGTCGTCGTCGTCGTCTTCGTCGCCGCCGCAGTCGTCGTCGTCGTCGTCGCCGTCGTCGTAGTCGTCGTCGCCGTCGTTGCGTCGTCGTCGTCGTCGTCACCGTCGTCGTCGTCGTCGTCGTAGTCGTCGTCGTCGTCGTCGTCGTCGTCGTCGTCATCGTCGTCGCGCGCCGCCGCCGTCGTCGTCGTCGTCGCCGTCGTCGTCGTCGGCGGCGACGCCGTCGTTGTCATCGTCGTCGTCGTCGTCACCGTCGTCGTCGTCGTTGTCGTAGTCGTCGTCGTCGTCGTCGTCGTAGTCGTCGTAGTCGTCGTCGTAGTTCGGTCGTCGTCGTCGTCGTCGTCGTCGTCGTCGTCCGTCGTCGTCGTCGTCGTCGTCGTCCGTCGTCGTCGTCGTCGTCGTCGTCGTCGTCGTCGTCGTCGTCGTCGTCGTCGTCGCCGCCGTCGCCGCCGTCGTCGTCATCGTCGTCATCGTCATCGTCGTCGTCGTCGTCGGCGGCGGCGACGTCGTCGTCGTCGTCACCGTCGTCGTCGTCGTCGTCGTCGTCGTCGTCGTAGTCGTCGTCGTCGTCGTCGTAGTCGTCGTCGTCGTCGTCGTAGTCGTCGTCGTAGTCGTCGCCGTCGTCATCGTCGCCGTCGTCGTCGTCGTCGCCGTTGTCGTAGTCGTCGTCGCCGTCGTCGCCGTCGTCGTCGTCGTCGTCGTCGTCGTCCTCGTCCGCTTGTTCTTCCTCAACCGCTCCCGCTGCCCTCTCGCCGTGCAGACACATGACGGCGCGGGGATTTCTTTCACGTGTTCGGCCTCCGAGGGCCCTCGCCAGGCCCTGCGACCCGACAAGACACGGCTCGGCATGCTCAGCGGGAGTGGGCCGAGGCTTCTGGGGGCTGCCGCTGTGACAAGATCGTGGCGTCGGGGGCCTGGGCCCTCCGCCAGCGCCCGGAAGGCTCCCTCCGCTCGAAGGGCCCCGTGGACACGCAGAGTCGCCGGCCCAACGGGCCAGAGGCGTGCCACAAGATCCCCGGCCACTGGTAAACAATATTTCTATAGTTCGCGCGCGTGGGGCGGCTCCTGGGGGTTCCCTGGACGAAAAAAGTACTCCAGATTTCGTCATACAGGGAGGGGGGTCTCATTTCGCGGGGGGGTCTCTTCCAGGCTATCTTGGAGGGCCTGGGGGGGTCTGGGGACGATGTTTTGGAGGGTTCTCCCACGGGGGGGGGTCTGAAATGGCTTGTCTTGGAGGGTCCAGACCCCCTCCCTTTTATTACGAAATCTGGAGTATCCCGGGCGGTCCGACCCAGACATGTTTGTTCCTTCTGGGCGCGGTTTCCAGGTGCCCCAAAGCGCTCCTCGAGGGCCCCAAGAGCCCCCAAGACGGTCCAAGAGGGCGCCGAGTCGCCGACCGGTCGGTCCAAGACGCCCAAGATACGCGCCAGGCGGCCGCAGACGCCCCCAAGACGCCCAGAGAGGCCTCGAAGAAGCGTCTCAAGAGGGCCCCAGGAGGCAAAAACCATCGATTCCCCTTCGGTGTTGGAAGGATTTTGGCGTTCTCATCTGGTTGCCTTCCCGATGCTCCAAGACGGCCCAGGAGGCCCCAAATATCGCCCCAAGACGGCCCAAGAAGCTTCCAAGAGCGCCCCAAGAGGGCCCAAGAGGGCCCCAAGACGGCCCAAGAGGCCTCCAAGACGGCCAAGATATTCTCAGAACGGCCCCAAGAGGTGGCCAGACGGGGAACCCGAACGGACATTTCGAGCCCTCGGCCCCAAGAGGCGTACAGGAGGCCCCAAGAAGCCCCCAAGAGCCCCCCAGGAGGCCCCACGAGACCCAGGAGACCCCAAGAGGCCTCTAAGAGGCCCCCAAGGGGCCCCCAAGTGGCACCCCAAGACGCCCCCAAAGGCCCCCAAGAGGCCCTAACACCGCCAACACACGGCCCCCAAGAGGCCTCAAAACTGCCTCCCCGAGGCCCCTGAAAGGCCAACCACGAGAACCCAACCAACATCCATGAGGCCTCTGACTAACCACCCACCGCCTCCGAGAAATGGCAGCTGCCCTACCGCGCCGCATTGAGAACAACACCCCGACAAACGACAGCGGCGAGGCAATATGGGCAGGCGGAATGAGCGAAGCGATTAAACAAATACACACACACACACACTCCAGGAGTCCCCGATGTTCTGTTTTTTTCTTGATTCTCGTACTCCCCCCACTTCCCATAGTTTCCTGTATGCTCCTGGCAATCGGCGATTGTTAGTGTCTGTGTGCTTGCTGTTCAGCTCGGGGGTGCCCGGGGTCGCCACAGACGGCCGCCGGCGGCCTGGCGCGAGAGCCGACACCCAGAAGAAAGCTCGGACTGAAACACCGGGTCTGGGGAAAATAAGGGACCGGACTCTATACACCGACGTTTTCTACGGCCCCGCACCGAAGTTCGCACAAGAAGGCGGATCCTGGTGTATACGGGATCCTGGTGTATACATGTTTCGTTGCTTCCACGGGACAAAAGGGGGGAAGATAGTATGCACCACACCACTCTGACGCCGTCCCCGACCCTCAAGAAGTTCTGGGACTGAAAAGCAGCCCGCCACTGGCAATGTATAAAATGCTCCGGTCTCCGGGAACAGGGTCGGTCGGGCCTTCCCGAGGCCCGGCATCGACGAAGCTTGCTGTCGCTCGGACGTCCATTTCCTAATTATGCGTTTTTCGGTTTGGTGCGTGTTTTTTTCGCTCGATGGTCCAGGATGGTCAGACCCCGCTGCAGCAGCTGATGCGAATTTCGCAACCCTGCCAGCGCCAGATTGCGCTCTATCTTTTGCTGCCCTGGCCGTGTCGTCGTTCAGCTCGAGGAGCCAGCGCAGCACGTTGGGTTTCTCACGCTCCAGCTCCGTCGCCATCTCCTTCCGCACCTTGACCTCGATGATTCTCGCCGAGAAAAAATGCACACGTCCGAGCGATGCCAAGGAAGACGAAGGCCTCGGACGTCGTCTCGGCGTCGAGGCTCCGCGGGCGCCGCTGCCGCCGCCGCCGCCGCCGCCCGCCCGGGCCCTGCCCCCGCCGCTCCCGGAGGAGGAGGAGGAGGAGGAGGAGGCGGAGGAGGAGGCGGAGGAGAAGGAGGAGGAGGAGGAGGAGGAGGAGGAGGAGGAGGAGGGAGGGGAAGGGGGGGGGAGAAGGGGGGGGAGGAGGAGGAGGAGCGGAGGAGGAGGAGAGGCGGAGGAGGGGAGGGGAAGGAGGAGGAGGAGGCGGAGGAGGAGGGCGGGAGGAGGAGGGAGGGGAAGGAGGCGGAGGAGGAGGAGGGAGGGGAAGGGGGGGGGAGGAGGAGGGAGGGAGGAGGAGGAGGAGGAGGAGGAGGAGGAGGAGGAGGCGGCGGAGGGCGGAGGAGGAGGAGGAGGAGGGAGGGGAAGGGGGGGGAGGAGGAGGGAGGAGGGGGGGGTGCTGCTGCGGCAGCGGGGGCCCCCTTTTTCTCCCGCGCTCGCCGCGAGGGCGGCGCGCGCCCGGTGGGGCCTCCCGCGGCGGGCCTCGCGGGCCAGTGGAGGGCCCCCTAGTGGGCCTCCGACGAGGCAGGAAGCTGCAAATTCCGTCTGCCGGCGGGGGAAGGGGGAGCTCACCACCGCCCCACTGGCCATCGCTCGGACGTCCATTCCCTGTGTTTTTTTCCGGTTTCGTGCGTGTTTTTTTCGCCAAATGATCAAGGATGCTTCTCGATGGTCCTCGCCGAAGGAAAAATGCACACGTCCGAGCGATGCCAAGCCCAGAGGAGGCGCGGAGGCGCGCTCGTCGTGCAGCGCTGGACGAAGGAGCGGGAGCGTGCTTGCCTGACCATGGCGAGCCTCGGCCAGGCATGCTCAGGTCCCCCGGCCTAAGCCCGAAAACCCGAGCCCCCCCTGAGCCCAACGTTGAGGGCCAACCATAGGAGGGGGGACTGGCATAGGGAGGGAAACGTCGACCTGGAATCGGCGATACATTGCCGATAGATCGGCGATGTGCCTCTGATGATGAAGCCGCACGTTCCTGTCCAGGATGGGGCTAGGAGACCCCGTCGGCGATGAATGGAAGATTGGGGGTCCATGCGTGACCCCGTCGTTTGCCTATCCCCCCCTACACGTCGTTCATTTCTTATCGTGCGCACCTCTGATCGTGCTCGTTTCTAATTGCTCCTGGCCTCCCAGTGGCCAGGAAGAGGCCCAGGATGGAACGATCAGAATTGAAAGGATCCTGCCCCCCCGAACAAAAGTCAAAGAACTCTCGAAGAACTAGACACGGGCAATGTGCAGAGCTGCCCCTGCAGCGTGGCCCTCGCCCCAGCGTCCTGACCGCATCGGGCCCGAGGTGCTTCAGCGCGTTCGGTCCCCGCCGGCGGCCCTTCGGGCCGCGGGGCAGCCTGGTGCGCAGGGGGGCCCCGCCGGGGGGCGCCCCCGGAGTGCGCGCCATCGCCCGCGCCCTGGTCCCGCCCCCGCCCCGCCCCCGCGCCACTTCGCCGTGGGGCGCAGGAGGACATGCCCAGTACGGCGCGCCCTCCTCGGAGGCGTGCGCGCGACACGAACAGATAGTTCAGCGGCATGGCAGGGCATCGTTTCCCGAGCGGCACGGCAGGGAAGCGTCCGCCACGAAGCATCTCTATATACGAAGGGGCCCTGGGACACACACACACACACACGCACACACGCACACACGCACACACACACACACACACACACGCACGCACACACACACACACATACACACACACATAAATACACACAAATAAAACTATTCCCCACATGTTCCCATATTTTCTGGGTTTTTGTCTTCCCCACCACTTCCCAGATTTTCCTATATTTTCTGGGGGATCGACGATGAATTGTGTCTGTGTGGTTTTTCCCTCCCGAATATACTATATAAGCTTTCTCGGGTCGCCCCCGAGCGGCGACGCACCAGGCGCAGGGAGCTGTAAGACTCGGGCTCGGGGGACTCGAGCTGGCCGGTCGGGTCCGTCAGGGAAATGACGACACCAAATCGGCCATTTGACGCACACTCCCGCGGCATGGCATCCCACGAACACAGGGGCCGTCCAAACGCAGGACGGGCTCGCCGAGGAGCGTTAGTATAGCCCGAGTCCCCGCAGTCTCGCGTCTGACGTTTCTCCGACATGCCGCGGCGGTGGTGCTCCCCCTTCCTCCGATACTGGACAATACATTCTGCTGGGGGGGGCCTGTCGGGCGCGTGCGGCGCCCTGGCGCGGGTCAGCGCGCGGCGCCGTCTGCTTTTGGCACCGAGAGCCTCGTCCCCGCCCCCCGTGCGACAGAGACCCCTTCCCCCCGCTGGCTGGGCAAACTCCGTGGGTAGGGGGCAGGTGCGGTCTCCGTCGGATTCTGTGGCGCCCACCAGGGGGCCACATGCGAACCCTACCCCTACCCTCCACGATTTCTGAGGGGGAGGCTGGGGTTCACTTCGCTCGGGAGTCCCCGAGCGAAGTGAACCCCACCCTCCACTCAGAAATCGTGGGGGGTTAGGTGTAGGGTTCGCATGTGGCCCCCTACCCATCCCAGAGGCAGTGGTCGGAACAGGGCAAAGCTTAACCTCGGTCCCCAGACACCTCCCGGGGTCCAAGCGCACCCGTCTTCCGAGCTGCGCCCAGCCGTGGCGACGAGGGCCCACCCGGAGGCCACCTGCCGTTGTCTCAGCTCGCCCGCCTCTGCTACAGGCGCCGGCGCGCAGAAGCCCTGCAACCCGCGGGGGAGGGGGACGCAGCGGACAGTGCTGACATGCGGTAGGCGGCGCGCCAGGCCGACGCTAGGCCCCACCCTCTGGGGTGACGACGGCGCGCGGGGCAGCGCCACGCATCGGGCGGGCTGGCCTCAGGGGCGCGCCAGGGAGAAGCTCGGCCCCACCCTCTGAGGTGCCGACTGCGCACGCGACAGCGGCACGGATCGGGCCGCCTGATCTCGCCCGGCTTGCATTCGAATTGGGGGCATTGGCGGCACTGCTGGGCGACCATGTTGGGGGCTGGCCGGCCCCAGGACGAGCGGCCTGGTCGGCGAGCTGGGTGGGGAGCTCTCGCTCGCCCTCTCCACGTCGGGCAGGTGGTGCTTGGGGCGCATCATCCGGTACACGAACAGGGCGATTCCACATATCACGACGCTCTGCAAGACGATGAGCATCGAGATGACGAAGTGCCACCAGCTGATGCCGCCGCCCCCCCGCGGGCCGGAGTCGTCCTCGGCAACCGCATCGTCCTCGGACAGCTGGTAGACGTCGAGCGCGCGTATGGACCAGTAAGCCTCCTGGAGCTCCTCCGGGTGGAACGCCACGAGCTCCTCGCAGGTCATCCTCTCGGCAAACCTGGGGCAATCCCTCGCGAAGGTGCCGCCGGCCCAGTCGCCGCAGAAGGACAGGTCGAACATCAGCTGCATGCGCGCAAAGTGCTCCTTCGGGCAGTTGAGGCCCAGCCCGAAGAAGGAGTAGGGCGTGCCCCAGGCCTCAGGCGTGGGGGCCCCCTGCGCGATGTCGCCCGGCTCCCGGCCACGGGGCCAGAACCAGGTCCGGAAGTACCCGCGCTGGGGAGCCCACTCCGCGGCGTAAGTGCCACCGCCCATCTGGTTGAAGCCTGGGCCGATGGAGTCCACCGGGCCCTCCTGGATGCAACCTCTATAAGGGAGCAGCCCGATGCGGCAAGTTCCGTCGTGTCGGCCCCGGCGCTGGTTCCCGACACCGCGGAGACCGCTCGAGCTTGAACGATGGGCCCTCTGAGAAAGGCCGGATCTTTCAAGGATGGGCCGAATCTGGGCCACAGGCGGCGTTCAACCTTAAACGCCCGCGCTGGGGTCGCCACCGGTCGACACGACGCGAACCTGGAATCTGGGAATCTGGATGAGAAACCATTGAATCAGGAATGTGGGGTCTGGAAAACGGTGGAACTCCAATCGTGGGTTGGCCATGGATATCACCGCTACCGCCGTCAGAGAAGGAGTCCTCCAAAGGCTGATTCCTCCTGGGCACAATCCGTCAGCAACGCCACCACCGCACCGATACCGCTACTCCGCGGACCTGCAGCGGCGTGCGTCTACCCAGGACGAGCAGCTGTATTGGTGCGTTTTCATTCCCCAAACTGTGCTTGCACTTTGGGGCTCTTACCAGTGTTCTAAGGGATAAAGCCGTGCCTTCGGTCTGGCGGCTGTGGCCGCCGTCGCCGCCCCGTCGCCGTCTCGTCGCCGCCCGTCGTCTGGGGTGTGTCTTCGGTCTGGCGGCTCTGTTGCCGCCGTCGCCGCCCCGTCGCCGCCTCGTCGCCGCCCGTCGTCTTGACCGTGTCAGCGATCTGGCGACTACAGTGAGGGTCTTGACCTAAGGAACCATAAATAAGGAACGAAGCCCCTTTTTTTTCTCCAAGTAAGCCCATGAAGCCAGAAGGAACGGCCGAGCCCCTTTCTAGCGGCGTTCCGCTACGATTTGATCTTGCAATTCGACCCCCGCCCTCTCCCCCAAACCACCAAGGAACGCCGGCCCTCCCCTCCCCCGCCGCTCCAAAACCGCACGCAGAAGCGCAGCCTGCGAACGACGCGTTAGGAACGCCAGGGGCTCGGGCTAGGAACTGTGTCTTAACGCGACCACTTTCCGTTTCGGTTCCGCGCGTGAGCCCCCAATCGCACCGCGCAAGGAACGCCAGGGGCTTACGTGGTGGTCTGGGTCTTAAGTTGACCACTTCTCGATTCGGTTCCGAGCGCGAGCCCCCGCTCGCACCGCGCAAGGAGCGCCAGGGGCTCGCTTGGGGGACCAGGCCTTAAGTTGACCGCTTTCGGACTCGGTTACGCACGTGGGCCCAAGCTCGCGCCGCGCAAAGAACGCAAGGGGCACGCGCGGGGGACTGCGCCTTAACGCGACCACTTTCCGATTCAGTCACGCACGTGAGCGCCCGCTCGCACCGCACAAGGAATGCCGAGGGGCTTGCACGGGGGACTGGGCCTCAACGTGGCAACTGTCCGATTCACTTACGCACGCGAGCCCCAACTCGCACCGCGCCCCGTTCCTGGCGCGCAGAACGGGCGAGAGCTCCACCGCGCGCCCCGCAAGGAACGGGAGGGCCCCAGAGAGGCGGCGGGCTTTTAAGCGACCGCCGTCGCATTACGTCGAGCAAGCGCAAGGAACCGAGCCCCACCGTGGAGCCCCGTTCCTTAGACCGTCCGCCCCGACCGAAAAAACGAACCCGCGCGTCCAAAATCGTAAGGAACACCGGGGGGGCTCGCCGCCAAAAAGGTAGCAGAACGCATGCAAACCTAAGGAACGACCGAGCCCCTTTTGAAAAGTAAGTGTTCTTTACTCAAGGCTTTCACTGTATGTGACCGCCGTCACCGCCCCGTCGCCGCCCGTCGTCTGGTCCGGTGTGCCGGTCTGGCGGCTATATTCGCTGCTGTCGCCGCCCCGTCGCCACTTCGTCGCCGAACACAGCATCGATTGCACAACATGGTCTCTCATTTCTGAGAACATATAAACTCTCCCAACATCAGACTCAACGGTACACCCGCGTTGCAATTTACATACGATCCTGCCCCATCCTTCATCGTAATACGAATTCAAACCAACCCAGGCAGGATGGTATCGCCACCCCCTCTCATCCCCTGCGACATATACTACGCGCGCATCCGCGCTCATCACACATCGCTAATTTTCATAAATCCGTAGCACAAGCAAGCGGCATGAACACGCGTACGTCATCGCGCGCGCATGCCGGAATATCTGAATAACCTTGGGTTTCTGAGCCACTTCAAAAACTGACGCCCTGAACAAACATTTAAAACACAGAGCTTCGCAACAAGATGTGTTTATGTGTTTGTTTGACAAGAAGGTAAAGAAATACGATCGCATTGTTCTTCCAACAGAAACAACATGAGGGGAACATCCATCAATCACATGTTCATCACATGCTACCAGACGTGCCTCTCGCGCGCATGTCGAAATCATTCGCAAACCCTTGCGCAACAAATGCACGCGCGCGTCGTCGCGCGCGAATGCGGAAATTATTTTTAAAGTTTCAAATTTCGTTGGTATTTCAAACTCGGCGGTCCTGAAAACATGGAACGCGCATGGTTTTGCGACCTCGGTTTCCAAACAAAGACTGCGAACAAACTCCTGCGAATCATGAGGACAACCATCGGATTTTCAACACTTTCATTTCATTCGGCCACGCGGGCCTCCCGCACTGCATGCCGAAATCATTCGAGCGCTCTTGCGCGCGTGCTGGGTGGGGGGTGGGGGGGGGGGGGGCGAACCGTGTCATGGAATACCATGCGGGCCACTTTCGCGCGTCGGCCGCGCGTGCATCTCGAACTCCCTCCAACAACTTCATCATCGCGAGGGTGACGTGATCGTAGCGGGCGTGATCAGCATCGGCGCCTTCATTGCCCTTGCCATCGTCGTTGTCATCAAACTCACCAGCATCGCCACCGCCATCATTGTGTCTACCGGCGTCGACGTTGCCATGACACCGCGTCAGCCCACGTCGCCGACTCGCTCTGATGTGCCCGCTGGGAAGTGCCCAACGGCCAGCGCCACCGCGGCCGCGTGGGTCGCGCCAAACTAGCTGGACGCCTCGCGCGCGAACATGCGCGTGCTAGTGCGGTCGCAGAGATGCACCAGCCAACGAGCGCCCAGCATTAATCGCAGTCGCCGCCGGCTGGGCATGGCAAACCAAGTTGCGGGTGGACGGGCGGGATGACTGCGCGAGCAGTGGAATTGACAGTTTCAAATTCAGCAGGGTGAGTAGCATCAGGTAGATTCTCTTTTCGAACAGAATGATGAAATCCCCCCACCCCATCCCGCCCCCCCACTCCCGGGACTTAACGGCCTCAACGCTCGCCTTGCAATTTGCATGCGATTATGCCCCATACCGTACCAGGCAGGCTGGCATCGCCCCCCCCTCCATGTCCCGTCCAAAAAACTATTATGCGCGCGCGCTCGTTTCTCAAAAACCTGACAGACCAACGGATCCCTTGCAGAAAACGGCACGAATTGCACGCGCACGTGTCGTCGCGCGCGCATGCCGATGTCATTTTTCATATAAAAAAGGAGGCGCCGCAAGGATTTCAACGTGAGTGCCCCGAAACCATATCAAAAAACACATGGTTGCCCAACGAGGGCTATCAAGAGAAAGCCTGGGTTCGGGCCCTTGCGGATTCTTCGCAACGCCATTGGTTTGTCACACAATTTTCATCAAATGCGGCCAAGCGGGCTTCTCGCGCGCGCACGTCGGAATCGCAAGAACGCCCGCGCGCGCGGTCGCCAGAAACCCGCGCAGAAAATTAGACGAAGTGCAAGCGCGCGTCGTCGAACGCATGCGGACATCACTCAAACGCCCGAGGTTCCGTGCGGATTTCAAAATCGAGCGCCCCGAAAATGTGTTAAAACCATGGCTTTGCAACAGCCGTTGTCAGGAGGAGCCCGCGCTCGCGGCCTTGAAAAGTCTGAAAAAATCATCGGTTCTCAAACATTACCATTGACCAATGCCAAACGAACCTCTCGCGCCGCATGCCGAAATCATTCGAGCGCACTCGCGCGCGCGTGGGGTGGGGGAGGGGGGGGGGCGTGATCCGCGTCAGATAATGCCGCGCGGGCCACTCTGCCGCGCCGGCCGCGCGCGTTTGTCGAACTCCTCCCAAAACCTTCATCGCCGACGCGAGGGCGCCGTCATCGTCGTCGGCGTGATCAGCGCCGGCGCCGTCACTGGCCGCGCCGTCGTCGTTGTCATCGTCGCTGCCAGCATCGCCACTATCGCCGCCGCGTCTACTGCTGTCGACGTTGCCATGGCACCGCGGCCGCCCAAGTTGCCGACTCGCACTGAAGTGCCCGCTGGGAAATGCTCGTCGGTCAGCGCCGCCGCGGCCGCGTCGGTAGCGCCAATCTGCCTGGCCGCTACACATGCGAGGAAGCGCGCGAGCGCGGCCGCGGCGATGCGTCAGCCAGCGCTGGGCAGCCACCGCAATCGCGGCCGCATGTTTTTTGCAAACCAAGTTGCGGGTGGGCGTGTGCGGCGATGGCGCGAGCACTGGAGCTGGCAACTTCGAGTTCGGCAGGCTGCATTGCTCCGCATAGATTCTCCACTCTCAATTAATAATAAGATGACCTCCCCCACCCCCCACCCCCGCCGCGAAACTGACGGTTCCCAACTTCGCGTTGCCATTTACATATGGCGCCGCCCCATCACCCATGCTAAATATGAATGCTGACAGCGCAAATTAAGCCAAGCAGGTCCCCGACTCAAATCATCAGCCAAAGCAATGCGCGCGCGATCGTTCTTCAAGATAAATGGTAGTCAATGGCCCCATGCATTAGAAAAACCACGAACTGCACTGGCGCGCGTCGTCGCGCGCGCATGCGAGAATACATTTTTCTTCGGGGAGCAAAAAAAGTCAAAAATGAAGTTTCGCAAAGAACTCGACATACATTGTCCCTTCTTTCTTTTTGAATACCAAAACCTCACAACAAGATGTTCAACACAACATGCGTTCGGGCCCTTGCGCTACCGTTGGGTTGGTCAACTTCATCGCATCGCGCCACCTCGCGCACTGTCGCAATAACCCATTGCGGAAATGGGGCGGAGTGCACGCGCGCGCGTTGCGGCGCGGGCATGCCATAATCCATTGCGAAACCGAAATT